GTGTTGGATTCTGTGCTTATTTATGCTGGTATACATATTTGTGACAGGTCCTTTGGGATAAACTGCAAAAAAGTCCTTCCATGCAGTTCTGAAACAAATTGCAATTGCATTTTACTGCACATCCATTTTAATTTTGTAGCCAAGGTAGTGTGGAGAAGCAGAAAGTAGTGGGCTAAGAACACTCAGTATGGTCTGGGGGCTGTGCTCCTGCCGTGGGGCAGCTGTGATAGAAACCTGACCTTGTGCTTGTTCCTCTGGCTGAAGCCATATCCTTCTAGAAATGGAGCATTTTCAAAAAGCATCCAAACTGTTTGACAGGTGAGGTTGCATTTCTTCAGATGATGGAACTGCTCAGGTACATCAGTGCTGTAAATGGAGCAGCTGAACAAGGTAGGAAAAAAGCAACCCCTTGGTCCCCAGGCAGGCCAGCGTGACTGTACCTGCTATTCCTCCATCCTTCATCATGCAAATGCTTCACATCCTCACTTCACGCTGTTGCAATATCGTTATTGAATCAATTTATTTAAAGAAATGGAAGGAGGGGCACGCGGAGGGGGCAGTGAGTACTTTGCTGGCTGTGTGCCGTGTTTTAAAAGGTCAGTGGCTTCTGTAGCTGTGCTGGCCAGTTGCTAGGCTGCCATGGATTTCTGTGCTCCTTTCCCCAGCAAAAGGGACCTCGTGATGAGGTGCAAGGTTATAGTAGTGCTTTTTTAGTTACCTCACCCACTCCTTTCTGCTGGCTGAGCAGACTGAGTAAGGGAGATGCTCTCAGGAGCAGTTGTTTTCTTTCCAATGTTTTCAAAAGCAGCTGCTGAAGTAATCAATAGGTTATTTATCCTGCCAAATTAAATCTAATGTATTAACGTGGAGAAAAGAGTCACTATTTAGTGCACCCTGGGTAACTAAGGGTTTCTTAGGGATCAGCAGGATTTGTTGTCACTTTCACCCCAATTATATCTTCTTTGATCTCATGGCAAAGCACATTTACTTAATGCTTGAGTGAAAATTATCTAGCAAAGGTTGCAAAGTGCAGAGCTCTGTCATGAGCTTTTCTTTTAACCCTGCTTTCATTTAGCCATCTCAAGCAGCAGGAACTTTTATGCACATCTGATATGTGTTGTAATAGCAACCAGTGCTGTCAGTGGGGATCAGGCCTTAGAGGTGGAGCAGATATGCAGTAAGTCTTATCCTGCACCAGAAAGGTTAAGAAAAAGATACAACATGAGAGCAAACCAAGGTAGGGCTGGGAAGGGAAGGACATGATTGCTCAAACAAAGTATGTGCTCTCTGTTTGACTTCATTTGCAGAGTCCACAATCTGTACTATCCATGATATGGATAATTAGAAAACAGCACCAGGTTGTAAGCGAATGAATTTTTCTAAGCTCAGAATAAAATTGACAGGTTGGCATTATAACAGTTTATTGAACATGTGCAGCAACAAGAAAGGTAACTATTTAACTTGTGTATTAGTTCAGTGGCTACAAAAGGCACAGTACTCCTTGAAGTGAGTGTGAAGTCAAGGAGATGAGGTTTACACTGATCCTACTATGAGGAAGCTGGGTGGCCTATTTCTATGTTGGCCAGCCGTTTCTTATAATATGGTGTGTTTTGGTTACTTGTAATTTCATTAAATGTTTGCTGTTTGTGTATACGTTGGCAGGCAGGACTCTGTGAAAATAACAGCAAGTGATCATGTAACCAAATATGTAGCCTATGTTTGCTTAGCCTGATAGGTCATCAAATTTTTCCCAAGTACGTTAATGTACAGCTAAAATGCAAACTTGGGTCTTGGTCCTGTTCTGATGCTGGCCTGGGATGTTGGGCCGGAGATCTACGCTGAGGTCATGGCACCCGGCTATTGTTGTTTGTGCATTAAAATTAATTAGGACTCTGTATGTGGAGACTGTTGACTCTGAAAAATTGTGTGTATCTTTCTGCTTACTGAACGGTTACTGTTACCTGTTCTGTCATTCCTGGAACTTCCTCCTTCACCCTTAATAATCAGAACATGAAATGAAATCATCCCTCCAGAAGGGGCAGTGAAAGATACTGCTCAGATCCAAAATAAGAAGCCCTGCCTTGACAAGACTCTGCAAAAGTGCTGGCTGCAGAGGTATGTCTGGATTGCTCAGGATCCCTCTGTGGTGTATCGTGTGCTTGTGCAAACTCCATCTAATTGTATTACTTGTTATTGCCAGGAAGCCCTTGAGCAAAAGAGTTTGAACTTTATCAGTGCGCTGTTAACTCAGGTGACTGTCATGGCTTCTTACGGGCTATTCAATCATCCAGGCATTTGGGCATAACGTATTGCACTTGCAGCAATACAATAAATCCACCTTTGAGGTCCTGGGTGTTAGATGTAGTATGTGGTGGTCGCATGGTGCAAAGCGCTGGTACTTGCTCTGCTTGTTCAAGTGAGTTTGGCAGGATAACGTAATGGGAGACTTTGTTGCCAAATTGGGGGTGTAATCTATTTGTGCTGCTCTGGCTTCATGCTAGATTGGATAATAGCTTTTTTTACAGCTGGGTTAGACATAGATACCCACAACAGTGTTGAATTGTATTTTCCATCTAAGTAGACAGGGATGTGGTGGTGATTTGCATCAAATTGTACTGCTTGATGATCTGGTCATTCACTGATCCAACATGAAGGATCATGTAACCACTGCTGTGGCCATCAGATAACTTGTTGATCCAATATTTGCGCATATTTAATAAGACTGTTGGTTGGAGCTATAGAGAAAGAGATGTATAATTGACCCCATTAGTTAGAAATAAAGAATCAGTCATTAGTTCATATCAGTTTACTCAAAATGTAACATAAACCCTGCAAAATTATCTGACATCTGGATGGAATCAATACATAAGATGTATGGTCTGCTCACAAATTAGCAGTGCATGCTGGAAGGCAAATACAGAATGTGTGTGGCAAGTCCAGGGATGTGTATTCTGTATCATGTGCCTGCCATCCTCTAACTAACTTGACTGCAGGCGTTTTCAGCCTCTGTCGTAGGTTTTGTAAATAGTGCTATACTTGCCTAGATCCATGCTTTCTTGTTTTACTGCATTAGCCAGTCTGTTGTGCCTTTTTTCCTCAATTTGTTTGTGTTCGTGTCAGAGAGTTTGCTTCAGAACACAGTGGGGAGGGAAGGAGGGTGCGGGTACATACTGGCAGTGCTGTACGTTTGTCCTGAAGCAAATAGGTAAGGTCAAAAAATGAACTTTACACTTCAAGCAAAACGTCACAAGGTTTGTGAAGAGGCCAGTGATGTCCTTGGGATCATGTGGGCACCTGCAGAGGCTGCTCAGAAAGCTCTGTCAGCTGCACTGGCATTTTTTGCTGTGTTAGAAAGTTGTATCAGAAAAGACAAACTGTCCTGGTCTCCACTTCAGAGCTTTCATCGATCTTTTATGTATATAGGTCCTAGCAGTTGAATACCTCAAAGATAAAATTTGAAATCATAAATTCATTTGGATCTCATTTGCTTTCTGTGTTTTTTCTAATCAGCTGTAGGAATGAACTTGTAAAGTTCCCTAAAAAAAAAAAAAAAAAAAAAGTCCCATCCAGCTGGGACCCTTTAAACTCACTTAAGAGCCTCTATACATGACATACCAGATTTAGTGGCTGCTTACAAAAAATCTTGTAGCCCCAGCCGAGAATTCTTGTTTGATCTTTGTGAGCTGCTATGACCATTGTTATATAAGCCAATAAGCCAGGGAGCTCTGGGCTTTGCAGAGCCAAGTCTTGAGCATCACCTGGCTGAGCAGATTCAAGGACTAAGAAGGCACATTATTAGCCATGTAACTACTTTCTTGAGTTGCACTTTTGAGTAGTCCTACAGCCCTCTTATGGGCTATAACCAGTAACATTTGCTGAGAAGCCTGTGGTTCCTGTCAGTGAGAATGTTGCATATTCATAATCTGCCGTATTAAGTGATATAGAAGCTATCTGAGGTTTCTCTCCAAGCAAAACTGAAAGACATCCCAGATAGTTTGCTTATGCTTTATAAATCTTTGATTCATCCAGGGGCTAGGTGCCTGTTGGTGATGGCAAAAACATAGTCTGAAACCCAGCACTGACAGCCAGCACTGTGTGTTCCTGTACTGAGTAAAATGGGGTGTCTCAGGTCCCTCAGTCGAGCCCTGCCATGCACTCACTGATGCAGAAGGGACTAAAGGCTGCTGGTCCTATGCTGCTGGTGATACCCAGAGCATTAACAAAACTACTCCAACACACAGGACTCAGTTACTCACGTAGGGTCCAGTGGTTGTCATTTGATTTCCTGCAGTGTCCTGCAGCACTCTGCATTTAGAGCCTGTGTTATGGCCTGGATACACACACTGCTTCGATTTAAGTGGATGGAAGAAGGGGATGGACTAGATCTAACCTTCAGTGAATTGTCCATCCCCAGAAAATGAAGTTGCTGTGTCCTGCCCGACTATAGCCTTCATCTACAATTTGGCTTGTGAGAACAAGGAGGTCACTTCATTATCAGATCTGCTCTGATTTTGCAGGGAAGGTTCACTTTTCATACAAAGGTGAAAACCATACTCTCTCAAAAAACAATTTTGCACTAAATTGCATACAATGAAGAATAGCTACTTTAAGTGGAGACTGCAGCCGAAAATAGAATTCAGCCAGGGACTGGTGTGGGCAGGGGGAGCCCACTGAAGGTAAATGAGCTCCAGTGACTGGCACCAGTAAAGTGTGTGACTTACATGTATGTGCTGTGACATTTGTGGGGCAGAAGGGCATCATGTGCTAGGATGTAACTGCTGGGCAAATCACCCTGAAATAAAGGATACCAGACACAGGGCCAAATTCTGATGGCAGTCTTGCTTCTACCAAATTTTCATAAGCTGTGTTTGAAAGAAACCCCTTGCTTTTATGCAATAAAGCCGTAGCAGTATGTCCTAGCTCAGCCATGCAGTTTTACAGCATGTGCGGTGTACCCTGATTCCCTCTCTGCCTGTTTTTTTCTCCTTCTCTCCTTTCAGATGGCCAGTAACCCATGTGCCAGGCAGCCCCAGCCCACACTCAGCAAGCTGGCTGGACTTGGCCCCTGCCACTGAGGCGGGGAGGAGGGAGGAATCGCCCCAGCCAGCGCCATGGCCTCACCCCGGCACGCCGGCCCTCCAGACGGAGGCTGGGGGTGGATGATCGTTGCCGGCTGCTTCCTTGTCACTATCTGTACCAGAGCTGTGACGAGGTAAAGGGGCTGCTGCTTGTCTTTCTGACCTGTTTGTGGCATTATCCTTTTTTTTCTTCTTTTTTTTTTTTTTTTTTTTTTTTCCTCCTTAGGAAGAGGATTTGGGATCTCCCCTGATGTCCCACAGCTGCAGGGGTTATTCTGGCTGGGTACAAACCTCTCTTGCTGCATTTTAAACATTTCCTGAAATCCCTAAGGCTGTGGGAAGGGCTGTGGGATTACGAGCCCTCTGGTTTTAGTCTCGCCTCCTCTGACAGCTGCTATATCTCTCAACAACCTTCCCATGATTTCTTACAGAATCAAAGCCTGGGGCAGGCAGTGTTATTTCAGGCTGTGGTTGTTTGGTTGAGGAGGGAGGAATTATATTAGGGTCTTTTCAGGCCTGCTGTGTCCTTCTGATCCCACAGCCATGCTCATTTTTGCTAGTTCCAGTGGATTTGCTTGGCTCCTGAGTCTTTCAGAGAAGCCTGTAAACATCCCCCTTCTCCAAGCATTTTAGGTACCATTCTGCCTGAGAAGGTCTGTGCCCTAGAAAGAAGGCCGCTCTGGTATCTGAAATATGCAGAAAATATTTTCTCAGAAATACTTCTCAAAAATAGAAAGAACAGGAATAGACTGCTGCCTTGCATAAACACAATGTATACATCTGGGGTGAGATGGCTTCCACAGTGACTTTGATGTTGACTGGAGACAGACGAGCCTGGTGTGTGTGAACATGGACATTTAAGCTATGTTAAGCAGAGAGATAAGCACCCTTGTAAGTGAGGAACACTGAGACAGTGTCTTGTTGGACAGCCAGTATAATTTAAATACAGTGTTTCCTACCTAAATATGGTATTCCTTTTAAAATAAAGCTGGCAGGTTTAGGGATGTAAAGTCAAGGGTCTTGGAGTCACCAGTGTAAAAGGGACATGGAAACATTGACACAGTGTTACTTTATATGCAAATGTATCAATTCCATAATAACAGTAAAGATTTCCTAGTGAATTTAATTCCTTTTTCATGTGTGAAATGTTACATTCAAGGAATCATCTAATGGCTGGCACACATCTAGAGTACATAAAAGAATGAAGTGTGTGCAAGAAAAAAGCTGAAGAAAGTGGTCAATAGTTGATTTGCATGATGAAAAAAAAAGAAAGGGGGAAAAAGGATCTCTTGCTGATCCAGAAATCAGAATTAAACTATGCAGCCTTTTATTCCCTAGCCCTGCAGAGACAGGTAGAGCAATAACACTCGTTAAGCAGAGAATGGTAACCTCTCCTGGAAGCATTTTAATAAACTGTTGGAAGGTCCCTGGGCTCCTGCTGTGGTTTGATTCTCTGTTCATGAGGAGTTGCTTTTCACCTCCTTAGCACTTTTGCATCCATGAACATATAGCTATATGTGGTGTTGGCTCTACAGGTACTATGCTGGCCCTGCCCTGCCAGTTTGCAGATGTGATTGCCACTGCCAGCAAGCAACCAGGGCAGCGAACAACTGGGGAGGTGGGGCTTTGTGTAGCAGGAAAGCAGCATCATGATGTGGGCTATAAATTGCTGGTGATAATTACAACTTCAATTTCACCTCAGTTAAAAATAATATAAGCTATAAAAATCTAGCAGCAGATACCATAGTGAGAAACGTGGTATTATAATGTTCATAAACTCTCTGGAGTAGTTATCTGTCTGAATTAAATTCTACACAAACCTAATTGTCTAATCCCACTGTTGGGATAATAGTTAGACGCCAATTTGTGATCCAGTTGTTGCCAGTGCAAAGCAAGGATTTTTTCTCTGGTTGAATCACCCTAACCTAGGTACCTTACACAGAGTGCTGTTGAAATTATTCAGCTTGCACATCATTTCATGTCTTGTCCCTCATGCATTAAGGTAGCCCTTAATTTCCAGTATCCATTAGAAACTCTTTAAAATTTTCCTTTCTCATTGGGGTTTAGGTAAACCACAGATTTGATCTCCCTGAGAGCTGGAGAGGACCTTTAAGTGGGTACTCCTTATACCTGAAGACTGAGGCTGGTGTTTTCTGTGAGGCAAATATCCCATGTTCAACAGATCAGTATTCATGTTTGTTTCTTTCCTAGGTGCATTTCCATTTTTTTTGTGGAGTTCCAGGCATACTTTGGGCAGGATTATGCCAGAACGGCTTGGATCCACTCCATTGTCGACTGTGCTACAATGCTCTGTGGTGTGTATTATCCTTTTAAAACTAATGTGGCTGCTTTTTCTTCAGTTCCATCTGGTTTTAGCATGTTCACAAGCTGGTGAAGTCAGCTGGCAAAGATAGACACTGTGGGCTCTCTGGGGTATGGTATATCCAAGCTGCTTCCCCCAGCATAGTTGTGCAGGAAGGGAGTGTCTTCATACTACAGAAAAGCAGCAGAACTTTGTTTTGTCAAATGATCTAAGTTTTCAGAAATGTGCTTTTGTCAAAGTCTAGTGGGACAAGTTGTGTTTGAGAGTTACTAACTGAGCACTTGTTTCTTTTGCCCTTTGATTGGAATCGTATTTGAGACTTAGCACAGGATGTACATCTTGACTTCAGATCAAGTCACAGCCCACCCTCCTTTTAGTAAACTTGTATGTTTGCAAATACTGTTTTCCCTTAAAAGAAAATTCAGTGTTACTAAGAATGACATGCATCAATGCAGCAGTTATACTGAATTTCTCATGGGCTTACTTTAAAACTGTACAGCTAGGTGAAAATCCATGCCCTAATCCTGTGTAAGAGGGTTAATCCATGAGAATTGTTACAAAAGCACAGGAACACAACTTGAATGAGATATACTAACTCTACCATGTCAGCCAGGTTATAACCTGGGGGGAAAAAAAGAGAAATAAGGATAACCTTGCCCTGGTATTGCAGGTAGCAGAGAGGAGGAGGGCTGGTGATGGCATCATGGTAGAGGCAGAGTGATCTGGAAGCCATCGCTGTTGGAGAAGTGCAGGGGAATGGTAGCAGCCCTAGAGATGCTCCAAAAGATATGAGACCTCCCCTGTTGGGGTCTGACAGAGCCCACAAGGCCAGGGAGGAACGAAGAAGGATGCCTGAAGTTACTGAGGGCTGAAGTGCAAATTCCAGGTTGGGGAAGGTCTCGGTGTTGTAAGCATGGAGTAATGAACTATGTGGGCTGTTGCTGTGGTCTCTCTTGACCCCCAAAGCTGCAGAGTAGCTGCATCCTGTAACGACTTTGATCTACAAAAACCTGCTGAGAAAGCTACTGTGAATTTCAGTTTTATACTGACTTTCAGGAAAATTATTTTTAGGAGTTTTTTGGTGCTTACACCACTGTGATGGGGGGGATGTTGGAAGACCACTCTGTGTAGCTGTGATTGCTGTTTTCTCCTGCTTGCCTACTGCTTTCTTTTCCTTGATGATCATTGCAATAAATTGTGTGTGAGGACCTGCCATTAACTACTAGCTTTATTTGTTTCTTTGAAGCCCCACTTGGGAGTTTAATCAGTAATCATGTATCCTGCCAAGTTGGTATCATGCTAGGAGGGCTACTTGCATCTACTGGACTAATTCTGAGTTCGTTCGCCACCAGCCTGGAACATCTCTACTTATCATTAGGAGTCCTTACAGGTAAGAGGCATTCAGTCCCTTTGTTCCTGCCAGGAAAACAACGCATGAATGTTAAAAATTATGGTCCTTCCTTTCAAGAGGGGTAACATCTTCTCCATGTCATATTGCCACTGCACTGGTTGAAAGAGATACTCAGACCTGTTCCCTTCAGTCTCATACAGCCCAAATGCAGGACCCTGCAAAAGCAACTGTTAGTTAGAGAGAGGACCATGGATAAAGTTCTGAAATTATGGGAAGTCAGGAAGGACTGCTGTTGCAGGTGATACACAAAAAGGTTTCCTTTCTTGCCTGTGATTTGGCAGGAGTTTGTTATAGTCGGAGTTCTAGACTGCCTCAAGATATTTGAATGTTAAAAAAAAAAAAAAGTTTAAATCAAAACATAAGAGTAAGTGGGCAGAGGATCACTGGGAATATCTGGTACCTCAGCTGTGCACCTTGTTTTTGTCTACGTTACATTTCAGTTGAAAAGGAAACAAATTGCTGGTTGGTAGTGTTGCTGTAGCAGCTCTTCCATTTGCATTCAGGTGTAGTGGTAACAAATATTTTTACTCTGTCCTATCTCCCTGTGTTTGTTGCGCACAGAGGAACTTGAGAGGTGCCCATGGTCACACTGACATTCCTTCCTCATTAATACTGACCTGGTAGCCACGGTGATATAAACCCTTGTACTTGGTCCCCTGCTGTTTAATAACAAGTTGGTGGGATTACCGAAGTTCACACGCTGCCAACAGCTTATTTCTTAAAAAAAAAAAAAAAAAAAAAAATCCTTATTGTAGTGCATGTCACTCCTGTATTACTATGTTAATCTTTGACAAATGTGTTCATAACAAGTAAAAAGGTTCCTTGTAACTTGAGGGTCTGTGCCACATACCAAGCTAATGCCACTGAGGCTTCCTTGGTGTGAATACTGAGGTGGAAGTGCAGTTGCACTTTGTACATGGAGTTGTAAAGAGCCAATTCCAGAACAGTGAACTTCTAGTCTGTGGGGACTGGTTAATGGAGAGGTGAACTGTTGGTAAAGCCTAGAGCTGGTGCCCCAGCCCAGAGAGGAACTGGGAGCGTAACTGGTGAAGGTCTAAATCTATAAAAGCTATAGGACTTGAAACCGTGAGGAGTGAAGCAGAGGTGAGATGGGGAAGTGGCAGTAAGTAGCAGAGTTCCTTCTAAGAGGTATGAAAATATTTTCAGCTCCAAACTTTGAATTTCCACTTCTCACAGGACATTTACTGGCTTTTTTGGGACCCATTTCCCTCTGCCTACTCACTAAAAAATAAATGCCAAATAGAGTATGATTTTTGCAGCTCTCGAGTGATGATGTCTAGCTCAAGGCTGTTCCTCCAGCTCTGCTGTTCACACAGGTTCACCCACAGTTCTCTGCCCTGCTCCTCCCCTTGCCTCCTGAGGGGTGCCAGAGTGGGCACCCACTGCCCAGGATCCCTCCAGTCCCCTTACCCCACACAGTGCTGCCTTTGAGGAGGACATGGCAAGCTGGTTACAGTGCCAGGTGATTATCTCCTCTATTGGCAAGTTCTGCCAGAGGCAGTGGGGACCATTTTACTCTCATTGCAGGACATGCTCCAAAACCCTAGTCAGGAATGCATTTCTGCAGCTGATTCAGAAACATATGTTCTAGTGTTTGGGCAAGTATTTGATGATTCAAGTCTGCTCTCTGGTTCTGTAGCAGTGACCACAATCTTTTTCCCAGCCCAAAAGATGGATCTTATTTGTTTACTAAATTAGACATGGCTTTGTTTTCTGAGGCTTAACCCTCCTCTTTACTTGTAGGCAAGGATTTAAAATGGTCAGGACTCCAAGCAGCTGCTGCATGGAGTTTGTTTAGCTGACTAAAAAAGGTTTATTGTAGAATATTAGTAGCAGAGGCAGACTCTTTGTACTGTGTTTCAGAGACCTGAAAATTGATGTTCAGGGTTGCAACAGACCAAAATACAAAGTGATGCCTCATCAGGACAGTGTGTCCAGTGCCAGCATCTGCACAGACCCTGGGCCACAACCTCATCTTGCATCCTGGAGAGGCTGATGCACTGTTTCTGATGTTCATTGATTATTTTTGTTATTAAGTGAACCTCATCACTTCTTTCTGAGCTCTGTTGTTGTGGATTAATGATGATCCCTTCGGTTTGTCAAGTCAGTGACCCTGACAGTGGAAGAAAGGAGTCATCCTTGTTTGTTTTCACACTGATTGGGCTTCATGATACAGAATCAGAAAAAGCTTCCTGTTCATTTGTGTTAAAGTAGGTTATGTGGTTTAATTTAATGTGTTCAATATGTTGTGCTTAGTCTTAAGCCATCTGCACTGTGCTTTCTCTTCTAGGACTTGGGTTTGCACTCTGCTATTCTCCAGCCATCGCAATGGTGGGCAAGTATTTCAACAAAAGAAAAGCGCTGGCATATGGAATAGCCATGTCAGGAAGTGGAATTGGTACCTTCGTCCTGGCCCCTGTGGTCCAGCTCCTAATCGAGCAGTTTTCCTGGCGTGGAGCTTTACTCATCCTGGGGGGTTTTGTTTTAAATCTCTGCGTCTGTGGTGCCCTGATGCGGCCTATTGCTCTTAAGGAGGACTGTAAAACTGCTCCTGAGTTTCTTGAACAGGATTATGTACCCAAAGAACAGAAACGAGACTTAAAGCGAATGTCCATCTGTTCACCTTTAATTGAAGTGTGGTCTCATGAATGTTTTTGCTACTGTTCATGGAAGGAATATGACTTTTTACTGATGCCAGGCTTCATGGTGCTGGCAGTGTCAGTTTTATTTATGGCATATGGCTGTAGCCCTCTTTTTGTCTACCTGGTGCCTTATGCTTTGAGTGCTGGAGTGAGTCACCACCAAGCTGCCTTCCTCATGTCCATACTTGGTGTCATAGACATCATTGGTAATATCACCTTTGGATGGCTAACAGACAGAAGGTAATGGCTTATGGTTAAGCAAGTGTAAGCCTTAGCTGGTGGAAGGCTGAATGCAAGTGAATTGTAATACATGTAGAAGTTAACATTATGGGTTTTCGCAGTAGCATGTGTAACTTAAAAAAAAAAAAAAAAAAAAGAGAGAGAGAGAAAAAAGCCATCATATGACTTTCAGAAATGCTTACTATTTAATGTTTTTGTCTCTTCTGAGTTCAATTCTGCTGGTTTAATTTCTTTTTTTCCTAAAGAAATTAGGTATTTGTTCAAAGCTCTTGCATTTGACAGTGGAAATGTAACCCCCTGCTTGAGGTCTGTTGAGTGTGATCCTCTGTACCTATTTCCTAGAGGATCTCACTCTACTTTCTCTGCCTTTTCTTCTCTTTTGTGCTTCTGGGGAGGCAGAGAAGTTATGGAAAATGGTCAAGGGTCTGGCCCAGCACTGTCAGGCACATACTCAGAAGGCCTGACCTAAAATTGTTTTACATTTTCCAGTATGTAAGAACTCACTGTGCTTTGCTAGCTCAGCTCACTCCAGACATCTGTGTACAGCATCTGTACCATCAGTAGAGATCGCCTAAATTAAGGAGGATTTTGATTCTAAATGACACGTTCTTTGTGCTTATTCAGTTTGTGGGAAAAAATCAATTATTGTTTTTGTGGGACAGGGAGAAAGGAAAGTGTCATCTCGCTTAGCTCACGCTAAGTCCAGTGTTTCAGGGCTGACGTGAAGGATGACAACTAAGAGAAGTGTACTGTAATATTTTTTTGCATAATACTGGAAGCTAAGCTGGAATGTAAAGCCTGATGGAATACTGCTTTGAACATTGTAACTTCAGAGGGCTGCAAAATCCTGGCAGCGGAGCAGCTCCCCTCAGGAGGATCAGCCCCAAGAACACTGCAGGCAGCGTGGGCTGCTGCTTACCAGATGTTTCTGCAGCTGTATGTGGGCAGCTTTCCCTACCTGGGCTTGTCAGTGCTGAGCTTTTCATCTTGAAGACTGTGTAAGAAAATGGACCTAAATTTGAGCTGTATAGAAGAGACTGAAGTGCTGCATACCAGGGCATAGGAACTGAGGTGCTGTGTCCAGTGATAATCTTTTTCTCTTCTGTTTTGAAATTTGCAGGTGTCTGAAGAAGCATCGGCACTTTTGCTACCTCTTTGCTGTGGGAATGGATGGCCTCTGTTGTCTTTTCCTGCCAGTTCTCCAAAACTTTCCCTTGCTTGTGCCTTTCTCGTTTACCTTTGGCTACTTCGATGGAGCCTATGTAACACTGATCCCTGTTGTGACAGCAGATGTAGTTGGAACTTCTTCCTTATCATCAGCCCTGGGTGTCGTGTATTTTCTGCATGCCATACCATATCTAGTGAGCCCGCCTGTTGCAGGTCAGTTAACGAATTACTTTTGTATAATCTTATCACTACTTCAGATTTACCTATTGGTGTGATGTAAAAGGAGAGGAAGGACAGCAAATGCACATTAAATGTGGATGTAGCCCATGGGCAGAGAAATAGCACACCTAGACCGTCAAAAGACTTTAGATCCCACTTAAGCCCTGTATTGATAGGATGATTTCTATATATAGAGCAAACTGAAATTTAAAAAACAAGCCAGTATGGAATGGGGCTTCTAAGAGGTGGTACGTCACCACTTCATGTAGTTCAGAAATTGTGCAAGTGAAGGAACAAAAGACTTCACTGTGAAATTACACAATTTTGAAAATTTAACCTAAAGAGAGTGTCATTCCAAGGGTTTTTTTGGTGCAGAGGATTTCATCTTTTCATCTCACAAAATACTTTGAATGGGTGGGTGAGTCAGCTTCACTACTGTTTGGTCACAGGCTTATCACTGTAATACCTAAACATCATTTTCCCCATCCGTTCCATTACTGTGAAGTAAGGATGACAGCTGTACTCATATTATTCTTTAGAAAGAACTTGACACAGTTTTGAATATTGTGAAAGGTCAGAGATCTTTTTCAAACCACCATGTATAGATATGTCTTGCATATTTTGTCTGTTGTTCACATCAATTCCCAATTAATCTCTGCTCCTGAAGCTTTTAATTTGATTTTCCATAGCAAAAAATTATTGCAGAATGGAATTATTTGAAGTAATGCATGAGGCTAGGGCATAACTCCCTAGGTGTTTCTGTATGGGGATCTCACGCATGCAGTGTTTAATCCCAGGGCTCTCTAAGCATGTCTAAAGACTGGCAGTTAAATCCATGCAATTGAAAGATGTTTATTCAGTATTGTGGTGATGACTGTTGTGCCTTTTCTCATGGATTTGACCTCCAAACAAAAGTGCACAAAAATTTTATCTGCCTCCTGAGGACAAATTCTTCCCTGTCTCAGGAGGTAAAAGTAGGGACAGTGATGTAAACCCATATTGTTTGATTGTATTTAAATGTGGTAACTCCTAAAGTTTGTAAAACTTCTGTTGATTAGAGGATTTGTAAGTTATCAGAATTTGGTGGGCCTTTAAAAACCCATAATTTGTTTTCCTACAGGTTGGCTTGTGGACACAACTGGCAGCTATACTGCATCGTTCCTTCTGTGTGGATTTTCTATGATATTTAGTTCAACATTATTGTGCTTTGCAAGACTAGCAAAGAAAACCAAAAGAACACATTTGCAGCCACTCAGCAATGATACTGGCACCAAACAGCACATCTGGACAAATGGAGCAAGAGCTTATTCTGTCACAGCAGAATTAGACCAAAAGGATGTTGAATTTTTGGCTGTGGATACAAACAGCTACAGCAACAGATGACAGGCACCATCAGTATTGAGCACTGCACGGCCGTGACATAGACAGACATGGCTCAGTCGTGCTATGCTATTGAAGATATTACTCCTGTGAAACAAGGCATCTCTCAGATTTTTCTGTCATGTTTTAGCAGACTAAAATCTACATAAAGCAACAGTAATATCAAGTTAATGCAGTAATAGAAGACAGCTAGACTGAAAATAGAGTTTGTAGATACAAATGTTCACAGATTTATTTGAAATGCAACATTGACTCCACAGGTAATCTCAAAGATGATAACTGGCTATAATCAAAAGAAAACTATGAAATAATCAGTAACCAGAACTGAACAACAAAGTTTAAATTATTTCAAAAACAGAATCAGTGAAATAAGCTTTTTGGTGTTCTGTTATGGTAGTCTGTTTCAATGGACTAATCACACACACCACCAAAAAACCTCCGCATTTTTCAGTCTGCATTAGACTCTTTGCAAATAACTGTTTCAAATGCCAAAGCCATTATTTTAATTTTTGTTTTGTTGTGTTTTTTTGTTTATTTGTTTTGTTTTGGGTTGGGTTTTTTGGTGTTTTTTTTTTTTTTTTTAAGAAAATCTGGCAGGAAACTGTGGTTTATACTGGAAGTATCTCTGAAGCAGCTTTAATTTTTACAGTGTGCCTGAATTTTGTACATAAGTTGCAATTTAATTTCAAACAGGGTTCTAGACCTACTTTCCCAAGCCACTACAGCAAAATTTTGAGGTGGTTGCTGCTTTTTTTTTTTTTTTTTCCTGGACGTCTTTAAAGCTTGAATTTCTAAACATTGACATTCCAGGTATGATATACCAGCTGATCCTTGTCTGGGAGGGTGGAAGAGGTGCTGTGGCTCCTCTGCCATCTGAAGAGGAGTAAATTTGTGCCAGGGGACTAGGCATGCTGATAGACAAACCTGCTTTAGCTGCATTAGTTGGAAGGAGCCCAAAGACAGCCCAGGAGATGAGGGGCTTGTGTTTTGACAAAGAGAGCCTCTTCCTCCTGTGAATATCAGCAGCTGTTGAAGAAATTCAGAGTCTGTGCAAGCAGATGACTGAGAAACTGCTCGCTTCACAGACTATTAGTAAAGAGGATATTGGCAGGCAAAGCCGTTTCTGTGTATTCCAGTGGCAAGTCTGTCTCTGCTTGGACCCAGAAGCTGTATCTTCAGATGGTGCAAATTACTTGTTTGTGCCAAATGAAGAGCTGATCACTTGTCCTGGATGACCAGAACACAACAGCTGTGATTTGCTGACAGTTTCCTGCTACTTGTGTGAGGAATAAACTACAGCTGTCTGCTTCATGGGAGCTAGAGACTCCTTGTAGCTCATGGGGTAAATTACTGATGTGATGATTTAATAAATAGTAGGATGTTTCTACATTTCCAGAGTAAAACTGTTGTCAGCAATGGAGGAAGAACTTCATATTCTGCAATACAAATCAGTTTTGTGTTTTGATGCTGTTCATTAGCAAATTGATCAGACCCAAATAATTTTTATTAATGCTGAACTAGTAGTTTTGTTAATCATCTGCAGTGTATTCAATGGTTGCTCATAGTGTCCTATTGCAGTCTGTGCCTCAGAAAGGAAAGCAAAATAGACTGACATTCACAGATTTGATTTTGATCAAGAGTACAGCCATAGTGGTATAATGTATTTTTTATATATACATGAATATTGTGTATCAAGTCTTTCCTGTTATTCATGCATATTTTAGATATAACATATTAAAATTGTTTTACTTCAGTTGTCTGTGCTCGAACAAAACATTTCTTGCTGCCCTGCTTCAGAAATGTGGTCAGAGCCAGTAGCACGACTTACATGCACAGGCCACAGATTGAAAAATGAGAGTGCAAAGACTACTTAAAGCTAACGACATAACCTTTTTTTCAGCTCTGTGTGGCAACTGAGCACTGGGCCCTAATTTTGATGTTAACATATGTTGATAAAAAAAAACACAAAAATTATCCATTAATATTTTTTAATGTGTTAAGAAAAATACGCACATTTGGGATGGAAAAAAAGATATCTTTATTAATTAGTAGTGATTAAGATATTGGTTGAGGTGTTAATGCAAAAGTTTATATCAAAAAGTAGTGAATATGTGGTCTACAAAGAAGGTAAGCTATTTCAGCAAGTTATAAGTTACCACTGTCATTTACTTCACAAAAATTTAATTACTACTTTTACCACATCACAACATGTCAGCAGTTGTTCATGCCAGAACTGCACATTATAAAAGCCTGTTGGAATAATACTATATGCATTTTTATCCTAGTAAACAGTACTGTATAATACATTACTAGCATTTTTTATTTTTTTTTTAATTTCAAGATATCTTCTCATAGGGTTTTCTGTTTTGTGTTTAACTTATAATTAAGGCAATATTTATTGCTTAAAATATCTAATTCAGCAGAAAACATTCAACTGCTTTTATACACAGATCTTTTGTAGGAAATTATAGAATTATTTCAGGGTTTTCTAACACTGTTACTGCTCCAAATTAAGCCAATGGACAAAAGCTTATATGCAAGAATGATGCTTTCTGTGCATATCAGCCCTGTCATGAATCTCCTCAGCTCTGAAACAGAAGGAAGCATAACAAGAAATGACCTGCAAGTGGAAGAACTGGGAGTACAATCCAGGTCTGCAAAGCCTCATGCCAAACTTCTGCCCCCTGGTCCACACAATCCAAACCAAACAGCTTCTTCATCCTGCCGTGTGAAATGTTTCAGGCAGCGCATTATAGAGATCTCTGGATTATACCATTTAAAAAAAAATATATATATATATTTATTATATCTACAATGTATTTTTCAGAGATTATGATAGGCTGTTCTCCACAGAGGATATTTCCTGGCATGGCACAGTGCAGCAGTAGGCAGAGATACTTGGGCTAACGGTGAACAACTTCCCTGACCAACACCCCATGTTCCCACCAGCCCTGTTGAGCACTGATGAATATGAGTGTGAATGGAGCACTGCACCGCTGAGCAGGTCTGGCTTCCTGGGACACCATGGTCTGACTTGGCTGGGGTAACATCTGTCTGAGGCAGAAACAGATGGATCTGACCTCAGATAAATCCTGTCTGGGACAATACTCTATTCTGTGCGATGAATGGGAATTCAGTACAAGTGAAAGTGCTTACAACTGCTGAAGTTATCTCATATGTTTTCATTCCATTATGTTTGAAATGGGAAATCATAATTCTTTTGAAATTGATTATGTTCTAGTGATAATTTTTATCAGATCCACTCTGGAACATTTAATAAATTGTACCTTGAAAAACCATGTGAAAACAGCCTTGGAAAAGTCAAGTACCTTATGTTGAAAAATAACCCTGTTTTCAGAAAAAAAAAAAAAAAAAAGAGAAAATTTTCAGCCTGAAATGTTTCTGGCAACCTGTATGATAATTTCTCTCCTGAAAAACAGGTTGTGTGTGCTACTATATGGGGAATATATTTTATATTGCCATTGTTTGCTTTCTAAAGTGTTACAAATTTATGTAAGAGGCAAGAGATTGTTGTTAAGTTGTAACAGTAGCTCATGGTCAGCACAAAGAAGCCCTTAGTCCAGATCACCTCAATAAATAATACCTTCTTCGAAGTGACTATTCCAGTATATTCCAGTAGTTTTCTATACCATTTAGACAGTGCATTTGATTCATAATTAATACTTCCTGAAGGGTAGTATTAATTAACTAATTAATTAATTGCCTTCACTTCTTTTTTCCCTGCACTGCTCGGATAGGCTCTAGTGATGCATTCGTGCGGTTCTGGCTTTGCCCATTGGACCTGGCTACCACAAAATGTGTGTTTTGTTTTTTCCACTTCCCAGAGCTCAAGCTCAGCCTCTTCCCTGTGTCACCGCACCAGGCAATGCAGCAGCACCACCCTGTGGGAAATAACATTTCTCCTCATTTACAGGACACTAGCCAAGAACTAGAAGGCAGTGTTTGCGCAGAGCATCCCCGGGTAGTACTGCAGTCCAGCACAATCCTCTAGAGCCTGAAGAAGGTAAGGCACAATAAATAGATTTCTTGCATCACTATTCCTTCAAATCTTCCCTGCTGCCTCCAAGCCCTCTGGAGAGTTTGGATGGCAACAATGCTGATGTTAGAAGCTGCAAGATGGAGAAAGGCAGTGAAGTTGCCTACCATACCCTCTTGCCCACATAGCTGAGCACACCACTATAGGTAGTTGCCAGTTCCTGACTTAAACCCTACAGTTGTTCCTACAAGCCTTCAGGAGTGGGGTGTCGGTCCTGCTCCCAGTCCTTCCTGTTCTCCTCCCTCCCCGCTCTTTCCCTAGGTAGGGTCACCTTTCTAAGAGAGAATCTGGCAAGTGACTGGAATATAAGAATGGATTTTGACCCAGCCCTTTCTTAGGAAGAAGGTGTGGCTGCATTATGTACGTTGTCAAGCTCCTGATCACCTTCACTTGTATTACAAAAGATTCTTGGAGGGGAGAGATGTCTTGATGCTTCATGATCTGCGATCATATTTTACACTCCTTCAGGACTGTCATCCTGTCTGTACATGGAAGTGCTGTTGCAGGGGCAGGAATGGATGGAAGTAGAAGTGCACATCTTTCCTGATGGGCTCTAGCACCAGTTTGCTTCATTCTACACTATTGGCTAGGGCTCAGAAGTGCTTTGGAAGTCATAGAGCATTAGTTTTCCCTGAGAACCATGATCTATTATACCAAGGTGCAGAACTGTGGAATTAGGCCGGCATGTTGTAAATAATACTAACTTTTAGTTCTTTATTCAAAGACAATTGCCTCCTCCCCCTGTTCTCTGTCCTTTCAGCTCTTTCTTCCACTCACATAGACTCTCTAGGAACCCACCCCTTTTCCCACATGCCCCACATGTTCTGGTGCTCATGCAACTCTTTGCTCTAGCTGCGCTCTGCCCTCCATGTCCAGTTTAGTACACTTCTTGTGTGTGTTTTCTACCCCAGCTTGTTTCACAAGCATAGTCACAGATAGCCATCTCGTTGGCATCTCAAAGACTGCCTTTCCTTCCTTTCCAGATGTTTGCTGTAGCAGTTCCTGAGACTGTGGTTTTGGGTAAACTAGACAGATGTTTTGTGCAGTTTACTTCTTTGGTGCAACATCTCTGAAGCCAGCTTTGCTGAGAGTTCAGGAAAATAAATGGGGCTATCTCCTGACCCTTTTATATCCTGCCAAATCTTTATCCCTGTTACTTTTTTTGAATGGCAATTTCTTGATCTTCCATCTACTAATGTGAGGATTGGTCAGCAGAGAGATACCAGAAGCAACAGTTGATGGATGCAATGCTCTTTAATAGTTCACAACAATAATACATGTTTTGTAAGCTTTCCAGTGAGCTAGCCAAACAGCGGTTATTTTTCATAGTTAGACAACATACAAGGTAGTAAACTGAACAAGTATTCAACAAAAGTTTCTTCTAAATAAAACTTAACTGTTTAAAAATATTTGAAAAAGCATTAGAAATTCCATTTGTGTATAAGCATGCCTTTTCAAGTGGATAGATGAAATACTACAATGTGATTCATTTATCTTTCTCTCAATAGTAGACATGATCTGATTTCCTGCTCAGTAGATCTGTGTTTTACAGGTGGTCATTTAAACACAAACTTTATACCAGTGTTAGCATTACTATCTGTTGGTGAATGAACAAACAGATGAGCAATCATCATCTCTAGTTTCTACATTATCACCAGAAAGTGATGCCACCAGATGTTTCATCTGGTTATATCTTCAACCTTAAAAAAAAAAAAAAAAAAAAAAAAAAGTGTTTTGAGAGCCTGTTGAAAAGTGCTTGGGCTTTTTTTTTTTTTTTTTTTTTTTTTTGCTGTGTGTGTGAAGGATTTTTGGGATCTTTAGCTTGAGATGGACAGTCGTAGCTCACATAGTGCACTCAGATATTCCTCATTGTTGGGACACAATGCAATGGCTTTCTCATAGCACTCAATTGCTTCATGTTTTTCACCACTTAGATTATGAATGAATCCAAGTGTGCCAAAATCCTTTGCATCTCCTGCACCTCCCTGAATTCTCTGTTCCATCAATTTCTTCAGAGCACTTTTGCACTTATGGAAATAATAAGATTCTTTTTCAATTTTCAGTGCTTCTATGTAATACCTAATGGCTTCAGATTCTGATTTCATATGAAAACGCTGAAAATTGCCATAATTGTAGTAGAATTCGTGTTTATCATCATAGGATAGAATACTTATCTGAGATGCTTTCTGAAATGTCTCTTTTGCTTCTTTATACCTCTTTTGTTCTGCATACATGTTTGCTAGGTCAATATGGGCAGCAAAAAATACTGTCTTTTGGTCAGTCGCTGATTTAAAATGAAAAATGGAAAGTCGGCCGAGTTCTTCCACTTGCTGTCGAGGTGGATATCTTGTATTCTTTTTCAATTGAAAGAGCTTTGCTCTGTAGCACAGTCCTATCTGGTGATGCAAAAAGGCAGATTTTGGTGTCACTGCTAGGGCCTTTTTCAAAATCTCCAATGCCTTGTCCACTTCTCCTTTCCTTCTGTAAAATTTAGCAGCGTATCGCAGGAAATAAGGAAGATCAGGGCTATTCTGCATTGCTGCCTCAATGTATCTCACGCCTTCATCACCTTGCTTTAAGTCCTGAAGTTTTAATGCAAGTAATGCCATAATGAAAGTATCCTTTGGATTCAGTTCCACTGCACGCTTCAGGGGCTGGAGGGACAGGCTTAAATCTTCACATTGTCTGTGTAAAAACGCTTCCAAACGATACATTGCTATTGCATAGCCGGCATTGAATTCTGGGTTGTTGGGTTCATCCTTCAGAGCATTTTCAAAGCAATTCTTTGCTCTTTCATAGTATTTTCTCCCAAACTTTAATAATGCCCATCCTTGCTCAGCATAGATCTCTGGGAGCTCGATCTTCCATTGAGCAGTACTTGAAAGATTTTTGCAGCTGTTTTCCACTCTGTTTACATAAGTTTGAGCTTCTTCATATCTCTCCATGTGGTAATAGATCCAGGCATAGTTCCCCCAGGTAACAAGGCTTCTCCTGGCAACTTCATCTGGATGATTTGTTTTAACTGTTTCTTCAGCTTTTTGGAGATTTCTCAGGGCTTCTTCATTTGAATTCTTTAGGTGGCATACATAGGATAGTAGATTATAACCTGTGATGCTGTCTTTTATTAAAAACTCTATCTGATCGCCTATTGTTTCCTCTAGGTCATCAAGATCCACATCCTGCTTCAGCAAAGACCATGTAAAATGACATTCTAGCTGCTGCAGGGAGTTCTTCAAGGAATTATTGAAAACATTACTAGAAGAAATCAAAGAAAAACTTACTTATACTCCATCTGTTTTTTGCTACTCTTGTTTTTAAACCAGGCATGATGTAATTCAAAAGCAGGCAATGCCTCAGCTGGTGCCACTAGTCAACAAACAAGCCAAAGCTGTGGGAAACCATAGGGCTAAGGAGTTGAATAGTTATTTTAGTAATTCTCCTTGAGAGTGTACGAGGGCAGCTCTTACACAGCGACAGAGCTGGTGGTCTGGATGTCAAAGAGGGCATAGTAGTCTCTATGGTAAAGCTGTCACACCTCTGTATTTCAGGAACATATTTCCTATGCTGGGAACAATTGCTGAAGCCTACACAAAAGAGGTAATCAAACAACAATCTTCCCCTAAAATACAGATAAAGTGATATAGTGCCTTTCTCCTGTGTATTTCTGTGTATTTTATGTTTTGGATTATAAATTTAATTTTTAGTTTTCTGCATTTGTAAATGCTTGTGTGTTAGACCATAGCACTGTTTTTATGTTATGATTATACTTATGTATCCAGTAGCTGGCTCCCAGATCCCACCAGTCTCCCCTCTTGCTGGCACCTGGGCATACAGCCTCCTGTGGGTGCAACCCTACTCCATGTGCTGATACAGACCACACACTCACTCACTGACCCTACGTATCTGTAGAAGCTGGCTTTGGAGAGCCAGGAGCTGGTCAGGGATCCACTCTCTTCTCAGAAGCCTCACCCTTACTGACAGATACACAAACACACAATCATACCGACCAGCCCCTGTTTACACCCAAGTGGTCCTTAATACCCCTTTATCCTTCCCTATTTTTCAACATTTGTTCCTTCCCAAATCACCCAGATCCCTCATTTACCTGCCTTTGGTCCCCTCCTCAAACATCCCATGTCTTTCGTGATCCCCAAATGCTTCTCCTTGCATCGCATAACGTGTCCCATATTCCCAGGTAGTTCAGACTGTAAGGCATTCCTGTGGACCCCTGGTGCTGGGTGTCCCCCCAGTCTGGGGGGCTGAGGGTCCCCTGGGGCAGCCCTGGGAGGGCTGGGTGGAGGTTTGTGTCCCTGACTGGGGCACTGTGGAGCCTGCGGCTGCCCTTGTGCCTCTGTGCTCCTGTGTGCGTGGGCATGGGCTGATGGTTCTTGGGACAAGGCAGGGAGCAGCCAGAGCAGGGTGTTATCTGGGTTTCCCCTCCTGCCATTGCCTGCCTGTGCTGCTGTGTGTGTGTGCAGACAACCTATCAAGGACAAACCTTTACAATGCAGAGGAGATAAGGCTTTAGTCCACCTTGTGTCCTCCCTTAAAGTAGGAATTATGCATGACTTTATAACCAAGGCTTCTCAGCCAAATCCTTCTTTGTTAGAAAGACTTCTCTGCCCTCCCTCCTGTAAAATCTGGAGGGTCTAACAGCCTGTGTCATATGTGTGCTGCTGCTCAACTGCAAAATCATATACAAGAGGAGATGTCTTCTGGGTAAAAAAAAAAAAAAAAGAGTGCAAGGACTGGGAAATTATGAGGAGGCAAATCAAAGAGGAATTGGGAAGCAATTCTTACAGGTTCTGGGACAGTGGGAAGGACACTGGAGAAAGTGACACTGAATACAAGTTTCCACCTAAACCACCTGACAAAGGTACTGGAGGAAGATCAGGCAAAAAAGGCATTTATAAATGCTGTTAGTGCTTAAGTTTGTCTTTTTTGCCTTTCTCAATCTCCTCTAACTGATGTTTCTGATTGGTATTAGCAACAGTTCCTAATTAGAAGGCTGTATGTGAGATAATTACAGTTCTTCTGGGATGAAGGGGAGGTGAGAGCAAGTTCTTATCACTGTCTTGTTAGAAACCTTTGGCTACAGGTGAATACCACAGAAGAACAGATATTGGTTCCCAAGTCACCAAAATATTGCAGGAAGAGCTTGAAGCATTTAAGTAATCCCATTCAATTCACGATGAAATGTGTGAATTTTTTTATTGCCTCAGCTGAGAACCATGAAAACATCCGTGGTTGAAAACCACAGCAGAGAGTAATTCAGGGAAAGGTATTTGTGGAAAATGAATATTCATAAATGTCACAAAACCGGATTTGTGATGAAGATTAAATACAGTTTAGCTTAGTTCAACCCATAATTGGTAGATGTAGTTTCTAAAGTTATCATAAACATCTTTGTTTTGCCCTAGTTGAGTGTGTGTGTGCATGTATGTGCCTCTGCATATGTGTGACAGTCTTCAGAAAGTGTAACCCCCTTCTTGCGCTTTGAGCTGCAGCCCGGAATGCGCACTGCCATGTTTGCTGGTCCTTGCAGTAGTAGAGGTCAAAAAGTAAATTCCCAAGCACACTGGTGCCAGGCACCCATTTGGCAGGGCACCAGCTACAGCTGCAGCCTGGATTTCATCCCTGAACTGCATGCACACAGTTTTTCTGACTCAGTTCTGTTGACAGACTGGCCCTTGATGGGGAAGCAATAACACTACCATATTCAGTAGCACCCTTATATTATTTTGATTCTTCCAGTAAATATTCTGTAAAATATTTTCTGCTCTTTGGATCCCCAAAGTCCCTCACTGCTTACAGCTATGTAAATATTAAGCACTATTTTCCCATGACACAGCAAAAATGCATCTTTCAGAGATCAGGTTGTTCACTTACCTCATGGTTTTCCTTCTCCGATCACTTGTCTTAAGGTAGCTTCAAAGCCAAAGGATTGTGGCTCACTGCTGTTACGACTTTCCTTTATTGTGCTCCAGCCCTCATGTGACCTGTGAGTAAATGAAGAAGAACCAGAAAGTGAAACTTCAATTTATGTATGAATCTGCAAAAGAAGCTGGAGCAGCTGCCAGTAGGGGAATAGAAACTTTCAAGTCACAGAACTGCCTTTTCCAGCCTGGCTTGGTGCCATGCATTACACTGTGTTGTGGAGAATGTGGCAACAGCTCCTAATAACACCCAGCGTTAACTTTATTCAAACCCAGAGGCATCTACGATGAGAAGCGATCTCTTGGGGAAGGCTCCCAGAAGTGTGGGGAGTTTCAGCCCATGCAGGCAGTGACTCTTCAGGATAAGGCCTTCCTTTCCCTCCTTCGCTCTTTTCCCTTTCTTTTAAAAACAAAACAGTCTTACATATGAGAACTAGTTTCTGCAAGAAGTTGGAGAGCCTTAGTAACACGCCTCTTGTGTCTGTCTCATTTAAGTGTTTGTGTGTGTGTGTGTGTGCTGAGGGTTTATTTTGTTGGAGCTGATGTTTCAGAGCTCAAGGTAAGTGTTAGTACAGCTATTACTCTGAGTAGCATGCAACATTCCGGCAATCAGGTATTTGATAAGTGGTGAAAAGAGGCAGTGAATTGGAAAGGAAAAAGGATTAGGGTGTCTCCACAGATTCATGTTTATGGAAAATAAAGGTTGCAGGTAGTTGTAGGGAAATGTATTTAAAAGGTTTCTGCAAGGCCAAAATCAAATGTGGACACTAATGAGTTATTAATCTACTAAGTATCTATGGGTTTATGTTCTCTGCTTCTGTCCCAGGTGACTCTTTTCTTTAGTATATTATTTGGTACCTAGCCTGGTACATATGGGAAAATGCAAGAATTTTCCTTCTGGAATGCAAAAATTTGCCCTGGTATCTGTATTTTTACAAATGTAGCTGCATCTATATGCTTTGGTTTGATACAAATGCACATTGAATAAAGTAAGTGCAGGAAAGTGCTTAAAACAGAGTAAGTGAAAGTAAAAGAATAGTTATGCAATGCCTTTCTGCAGCCATCTTTGTAGCTTACTTGGCACAGAACAGGAAAATTCAGAAATACTTCTACAGCCCTGCTGCTTTCACTTCAGGGAAAGCTGCAGCCGGGCTGACTGGTGTCAGGGAGAGCTGTGTTGCATAGCAGCACATGCTAGAGCTCCTTGGAAAACACTTGTCCAGAAATGGGCTGGAAACAACAACGGCATTCATGTTTAATACAAAGACTTTGTGTACTTGACTGTTCTGTACATATATAAGAATAGGGAATGGCTTCAAAATATCTACACATTTTAAGGAGAAAACTCACATATGTATATTTATTTGGAGCTGAAATGGATACAGGCTGACAAAGAATTCTCCCCTGGTATCATTAGCCCAGCCAAACAATTGCATGAAATGCAGTTTTCACTAGTAAAATAATGTAAATGAACTAAAACATAGCAAATGACAGGATCACTTAAAAAAGCCTATTTTATGCTGGTTTCAATTTAGCCTAGTTTAACATCTAATTACTATGTTTGACAGCAGCAGCTGTGGCATTTTATAACTTGGGGTTTCGCCCAGGAGGCAGAGTACCCTATAGTTAATTTGACAGAAAACCCAAGTGAATCACTGAGCATTACTTTTGCTACGCAAGTTCTTTAAAACCAAATGACCCTAAGAAATGGGATCCAGGAATGCAAAGGGTCACACAGTGTCACCTGTGCCAAGGGATGTATCTATATATCAAAACAATGGGATGTTATGAAAACTTCAATGATTTCTCAATTGAAATCTTAGTGGTTTCTAAATAAACAGAAACACTTCTTTTCTTGACACACTCCTGCTCTATCACGGTGTATTTCGTACCAGGTTTCTGTATTCTGAGGATACTGCTATGGACCTGGATCTAGTAACACAACTATTTATGTTACAGGATTGAATTTGGTCCAAGTTTTTGCAAGCCTGGTCACGCATCCCCTGAGCACAGACACGCTTCTCCGGGCAATTACCGATATGCAATGCAGTGCCAGTTAGTTGTCTCAGAGTACGAACATAAAACAGATTTGCAAGCCGTGATGCTGACCCTGCCGGAACTGTGTGCCTGCATGTAACTTAAGCCCACTTGTATTAGCTTTTATATATTTAGACTATGCTCCAAGATGACGGATAGATGATCTATTTGTGTAAGAATGACAGAAACTGCTGACAACGCTTCATAGTCTTTACAAAGGACTGGCTCTTCCCCAGGCGCCGGCGTTCACCACACTGCGCAGCATCCCCGCGGCTGCTGCTTTCTTCCCGGAGCCTGCTGCCGGCTCTGCGGCGAGACCGGAGCAGAAAATGGCATACACCCTCGCAGGGAGGCACTGTGAGGATTCTGGAGCCTTCAGCGAAGGGGCAGAGGCAGAAGACGAGGCGCGGCTGGGAAGCAACAATCATGGGCGCCGTGCGCGGGGCTGACAGATTTCTGAAAATGGAGGCGGGGGGGGGGGGGGAAGCCTACGCAGGTGTTCGTTGAGAAACGCTGACTCACGCCGGCTCTGGCAGCCCAGGGCCGCGCACCCCAGACCCGCCGCCGGACGAAGCGGGGCCGGCGGCACGGAGAGGCAACGGCGGCCAGGGGCTGCGCGGGGCCCGGTGGCCGCCGCCCCCGGGCGGGCTCCCGCCCCGCGGCTCCCGGCGGGGTGGTCCGGTCGGCGGCCGCCGCCGATAGGCCCCGCCGCATGGCCTGAGCAGCGCCGCCGGCCCAGCGCCCTCCTCCCGCCGCGCCGCGCTCATCCGCGCTGGGAGCGGCGGGCGCACGGGGGCGCGGCAGCAGCAGCGGCGGCGGCGGCGGCGGCTCTGTGCGGAGGGCGGGCCGTCCCGCCGCCGGGTGGCTCCGCCGGGCCGCAGGCACCCGGAGCGGGAGGGGCGAAGGGGTGCGGGACACCCCCGGGCGTCCAGCTCGCTCAGCCGCCCGGGGCTGGACCGCGCCTCCGGCCCGCGGCTGCCGCCCCGCCGCTGACAGCACCGTGGCCGCCCCCGCCCCGCCCCGTCACGCGGCCCCGGGCCGGCCGCCGCGCCCGGCGGAGGCGGCACAGCAGCCTCGGCGGGGCCCCGCTCGCCGCTGCCCCAGTGCCGGGTGCCTCTTCGCCGAGGTGGGCCGGGACCTCCCGCCTCCCTCCCGCCGAGCCGGGATGCGGGGCCTGGTGGTCGCCGCGTTCCTGCTGCAGAGCATCGCCTCTTCGGGCGCGTTCGCCAGAGGGAGGAGAAATGTGGACCCCGAGACGAACATGAACATCGTGAGTGGCGCGGCGGCGAGGGAAGAGTGCCCGAGACTTGTCGCCGGGTGTGGCCGCGGGGTCGTAACGGGGCGAGGAGAGGAGCAGAGGCGCAGGGGGGCGGCGGGCGGCCCCTTTCCGCTCCGCGGGCGCAAGCCGGGGGCTCCCGCCCTCGGCAGCCGCGGCGAAAGCCCCGGGGGGCTTCAGCCACTGGTCGCCCCGCGGCCGCTTACACCTTCAGATTATGCGTCGTCCGTCTCTGCTCCTCCTTCCAGGTCCTTCTTGGTCCCCTCTTGCCTTGGCTGGTCATTCTCTCGCGTATTTTCCTATCCAGACCTGTGGGGTTTTTTGTTAGGGTCAGGACACTCTTTTTCTTAACCGCTAGAAAAGCGCATGTTTATGAAGCATACCGGTGCTGCTAGCGCAGTGTTCCCGTCTTCTTACCCACGACTGCTTGTTTTCTCTTTTGGCGTTTTACTCTCTTAACTTTATTCTCCTTCTTCTGCAATAGCCAAATCCAGAAAATATTTGCTGTTAGTAGCTGGTATCAGTTACTCTTTCCTCTGCTCCATCTGAACTGTGCCGTTTCTTTTTTTCACATGTGCAAGAAGATACTTCTAGAAATGCTTACGGTTTATAAGAAAGGTGCTTGAGTTGTCAGTATCATCTAAATATCATTTCGAGGACTGGCAATAGTCATTTAGTCTAAAGCTAATAGCATTTGATTTGAATTTAGCTTTAAAATAATTTTGGATGATTAATGTCACTGTAGATGTTTGAATTAATCATGCTATTTCTTTTAAATACATCTTTAATATTCCTTCTCTTCCTTGCCCAGCAGCTTAAGAGCAGAATTCCAGTCACGTCTTACATTTCTTGCATTTTCTCAAGGCACTGTTGGTGTCATAAAACCAATTAAATAACAAGTTCTCTGTCTTAATGGAGTTACATCAAATGAAAGTAACATAAATCCTGAGACATAAGAGATGGGAGATAAACCTATTAATGGAATCATAGTGTTTAATGGGGGTGGTTTTTTTATTGTTATTTCCCTGTTTGGCTTGTCAATAAAGTCACTGAAAAGCTCTGCAACAAACATAAGGTTTGAGGAGAAAGGTGAGCAATAAATGGCACATAAAACTATGAGCTAAGGTGGCAATGTCAGCAGCTCATACATATGAAGAGTGTGACCTCTGTATTTTAAAGCTGATGTGTTTGTGGTTCATTTCAGCACATTCCGCAAACATGATTGTGTCCTCTGTATAACAGAGAATTCAGGATAAAGTTCAGATATAAATCTGAAATATTTTTAAAGAAGCCTTTTCCTTCAGGAGAGATGAAGTCTTCCTTCCCCTTCTTCCATATGCCACTGTGGAGCCAGTGGCTTTTTTCTGTCCTCACTTGTTTGTTGCTTGAATGATACCACTTTCCTTGAAAGCAGACAGTTTCAATTTTTCTCTGCCAAATCTGTATCTCGCTGTTTTGCCCAGTTATCACAATCTCCTCTTCAACACTTCAGTCTCTTCTCTCACTGTAAATAGCGTGTGAGTAACTAATATGACAGTGGATGGGGACAATCTAGGGAGTCCTCCCACGTTCCGAGGTTAAGGTTTGTGCTCTGGCTAGTTCCTGACTCCGTACTGGGATAAGTTTCATAAGAAAACCTGCCTGCATCAAATAGGCAGGTGGTATGTCACATTCCTACCACATCCTTTAATCTCACATCACTGTCTCTGAAAGGAATCCAGAGTACTCTGCACATATTAATGAACTGAGGAGGCTGGCAGTGTGACTCCAAGGCTGTTTCTTTTCTTTCTTCAGAGTCAAATTATTACCTTCAGGGGATACCCTAGTGAGGAGTATGAAGTGACAACAGAAGATGGGTATATACTTTCTGTTAACAGAATTCCTTATGGAAGAAAAGGCCATGAGAGAAGCAAAGGTAAGATTTGTGTCTGTTTGGAAAAATGGGAAATAATGGAAAAGCTCTCTAATTTATAAATCTTTTGCTCCTGTAATAATCCAGAAGAAGATTAAAGACTATATGACCTATGCAGTTAGAGTGTTTTATTGGTGAATGTTGTGGTCAAAATAGATTAGGCACGTGTAGAGTGACTTGAGTAAAGGAAGGGAGGAGTTTGAAATCTGTTTTCCTGGCATTGCCTTTTTGTGACACTAGTACAAGCCCTTCATTGTTTGATTTTTTTTGAGGGGCTGAGAGTCTTGGATTTCCTAGAAAGTGGAAGATAAGTGTTGAGATTTGTTGGGGTTTTTTAAGTAATAAAGTCTCTTGAAAAGAGGTTAATTATAACATTGTTGGGTTATTTCAAACGCCATTTTTAAAAATGCTTCTTCATAACAAATGCATTTGTAAAAAATGCCGGACCATTTTCAGAAGTAGGGGTAGTTCACATATCTCTTTTGGTAAAATATAACTAAACTACGAGAGTTCCCACTAAAATGTTCACAAAATAATTACTGCTTGTTTCTGCATAAAATAAGAATTCATTTGTTAATTTTAACCTCTCTGAAGATTCCTCTGCAGTAAGGTACAAGCGAGACCAATACTGCATACTACTGGGGTGTCATATTTTATGCAGCTGTTTAAATAGGTAAATATATATATATTTATAGATATAAATGAGATAAAATCCCTTCAGAACATCTTGAGTACAACACATTTAAAATTATATTGCAAAATAGGATATGTAACAGGTAGCTGAAAACAGTTCAGCCTAGACCAGGTTGTTTTATGGATGCGATTTGTTGGGGGACTGGGATGAACATTGGCATGTGCCACCAAAGCAGTGTTACAAGCTGTAGGAATTATTGTTGAAAGCTGGTAGAAAACCATGGAAAGGATGCAGGGGGTGTACAGGTGAGGAGGTGGGTGAGAGGAAGGATGGGGGAATATAAACCGAATCTTAAGGGAATGATATGGGTGAAGGTTTTTGCAAGGAGTGAATGATGGAATGCTTTAAAAATGCGACCAATGTATGTGGAAAAGGAGAGACACATAGCCTTTGGCTTGCTATCCTTGTGCACTGCATTTGGAATTACCAGCATACTTGAACAGCAGTGGCTGAATTTGGTATCAGTCTTGTCACCACCCCTTATAAAAGATCCTGCGGACAATCACATGCATACAACTGCAGCCTGTTTGCATAGGAACTGTATGTATTCTAAGGAGTGCCTCAGAACCCTTTGGACTGAAAAACACTAGGATGAGAGGTGAAAACATGGAGCTCACAGAAGGAATAAGTGATTGTTCTATAGTCTTGGGTATGAACAAGAGCTGTGGAAAACCCCTCTCCACTGCAAAAGGCCAAGCAACAGTCTTCCTGACCTTATCTGTTGGTTTTGTATGAATTAGGATGTTTTCACTGTCCACTGTTGCTCACAAGGTGATTGTGTAAAAATCAGTGCATGGACGGGGCCAGTCAAACCTGGCAGGTGTCTTTGTACTTAAGAACTTCAGAGAAGCCCACGGGAAAAAGACAGGGTGCCTTTGTACCTGTTGATTTTGTCAAATCCTTCATTGATGACATAAGCAAACAGAAGTTTCCTGACCTGTGGGAATTCTCCACATTCCCCTTGACACACCCTCGACCCCAAGTTCACGTTTTGCAAAGTGCTTTAATTTTAAAAACAAGGATTACTGAGCACATTTGGGGAAGTATGATATCCTAGAAGAATGAAGATTCCAAAGTTCATGTTGATCTTAAGTTTTTATAGACTTGGTATCTTTTCTCAGAAAGATACCAATGATGAGTAACTGCTGACTTAGCGTATATATGCCATAATTCTTCTTTTGCAATACCTGCATAATGTGAATAGGATGCCTTGGAATTATGTATCACATGATGTTTTGGAACAAAGCCTGCAGGTTTTTTTTTGTTTTTTTTTTTTTGTTTTTTTTGGTTTTTTTTTTCAGCTGAAAAAGGAAAACATTCAGAGAACCTAGAAGCAAAACATCAATGATTTTTAGTTTTAGTATTAACTAAAAGTCTAAAATAACTGCATAGCATGGGTAAGAAGGGCATGGAAATAAGTCTGTCTTCAACTTCTTGGGAGTGCAGTGAAGAGAATAAAGTGTTTTACAGCAGAAAGGGTAGTTTAAAGATGTACCTTTCTTACTCCCCTCTGAGATTTTTAGAATCAGAGGTGGTACAAAATTATTATTGTACAAGTCAGTTTGTCATATGACTGTGCAATTCATGTGCAGATCTGGTGACCGCCTGGCAAAGTGAAAAAGGAACTGGGAAAAATTGGAAGCTAATAGGGGAACAGAATTAAAGCATTAAAGCAATATAAGAAATTATATAAACAATATAAACAGTTTTTCCCTTCCTATGTTATGAAACATGCAGGTTGCAGTTTAAGGAGAGCCTGTTCTTCCACAAATCACAATTTGGTTGTTCTGAGTTTA